TTTATTCATCAAAACTAAAATATGAAAACCACCCAGGTGTCTATGAGGTAATGGACAAGAGGACAGATCAACAAATGGTAGCATAGTCTTCAGATCTAATACAGTTCTACATGGCAACAAGTAAGAAAAAATGGTCAATTCATGCAACTACCTAGACACATGTAAAATTGCACTGAGTGGAAGAAAGCAAGCAGTGGTTGCCTTACAGATAAAAAAGATAGGATTAGCACTGGCTAACAAGGAACTTTCTGGAACAGATGCCATACACTAACTTGATAGAGGTGTGGGTGTTACAAGTGTATGCATTTATGAAAACTCCATCCATAGTATATGTAATATCTGTACATTTTGCTTAAAAAATCAAACAAAAATGACTAAAGACAAAGGGGAAACAGACTTCTGGAATGGCGGCATGTTTTTTAAAATTCCAAAACACTTTGGTGATACTTGTGTGGCTGTCTGCTTTCTGGTGTGGAATTTTTAAAAACTTGCCGCCTTCCATATATCTAATATTATGTAGGATCACAATCTTACTACTTTATAATAACACCATTCTCAGCTGGATTGGTTGTCTTAATCAACAGATATAATCTGCTGGTTCCAAAAATTAGATTTACTGAGAAAGGAGGAAAAATTTCTACTGTTGCCATGGATTGAATTGTATCCCCCCCCCAAAAAAATACATATCAATTAGGCTAAGCTATGATTCTCAGTAGTATGGCAGCTATGTAATATATAACTTGACAGTTAAATAATGATACCATGCCCCGCCTCCCATAGTGTGACCTGAAGTGATTATCCTACATTTGTAATGTGTTGAAAACCCTAACTAGTCTGTTAATGTGACACAATTAGATGATGTTAATGAACATTCGGTTATGTTTATTAGGTTAATGAAGCAGAATGAAAGTGGATGAAACAGCTTTACTCAGATCACAGCCTTGACCCAATGTAAGGGAAATTTCCCTGGGGTAGCCTCTACCACCTTTCGTTTTAGCTACTCCCAGGGGGAAAGACAAGGCTTTCTATTCCCAAAAAAGAGTTACAGTCACGGAAACCCTGTGGGGCAGTTCTGCCTTGTCCTACAGATGGTCACCATGAATCAGAATTGACTCCGTGGCAGTGAGAAGAGAGAGAGAAGTGAGCACAGAGGAAGGGACTTCAGCACCTCTAAGAGCCAGGAACAGAGCAAGTCCCTTGAACCTGAGGCCCCTGCACTGAGAATCTCCTATACCCACAGCAGAGTAACGGCTAAGGTTCGGGGACCTCAAGGGCACCACACCCACAGATGTTGAAAGGAGACAAGGACCTTTCTCCAGAAAGCTGACAGAGAAAACCTGTCCCTAAGGTTGGTGCCCTGAATTTGAACTTCTAGCCTCCTAAACGGTGAGAGAATAAAGTTGTATGTGTGGTATGTCTGTTATAGCTGCACTAAATAAGACACTAAAGAAAAAGGAAAGAAAGCGCTTGAGCTCTGAAAGAAATTATAAACTTTTAAAATAAATGTTGAAAAAAGGCATCGGGAAAGGGATGGCAAATTTTTGTGACCTGAAACCAGAGAAGAGGGTGGAGGGATACATCGGACAGTGTAACTTATGACAAAACTATAATAATTTATGAATTATGAAGGG